AACTTTGATCTTCAAAAATTTAAATGCAATGCCAATCGTTATCTACTGTCTTCCTGATTACTCTTCTATAGTTCTCGTTCAATTTTCGCTTGTGGAACTCTCTACCGGCTTCTTGCTTTCAGTCAACTTTGATCTTCCAAAATTTAAATGCAATGCCAATCGTTATCTACTGTCTTCCTGATTACTCTTCTATAGTTCTCGCTCAATTTTCGCTTGTGGAACTCTCTACCGGCTTCTTGCTTTCCAGTCAACTTTGATCTTCCAAAATTTAAATGCAATGCCAATCGTTATCTACTGTCTTCCTGATTACTCTTCTATAGTTCTCGCTCAATTTTCGCTTGTGGAACTCTCTACCGGCTTCTTGCTTTCCAGTCAACTTTGATCTTCAAAAATTTAAATGCAATGGCAATCGTTGCCTACTGTCTTCCTGATTACTCTTCTATTGTTCTCGTTCAATTTTCGCTTGTGAAACTCTCTTCCGGCTTCTTGCTTTCCAGTCAACTTTGATCTTCCAAAATTTAAATGCAATGCCAATCGTTATCTACTGTCTTCCTGATTACTCTTCTATAGTTCTCGCTCAAATTTTCGCTTGTGGAACTCTCTACCGGCTTCTAGCTTTCCAGTCAACTTTGATCTTCAAAAATTTAAATGCAATGGCAATCGTTGCCTACTGTCTTCCTGATTACTCTTCTATTGTTCTCGTTCAATTTTCGCTTGTGGAACTCTCTACCGGCTTCTTGCTTTCCAGTCAACTTTGATCTTCCAAAATTTAAATGCAATGCCAATCGTTATCTACTGTTTTCCTGATTACTCTTCTATTGTTCTCGTTCAATTTTCGCTTGTGGAACTCTCTACCGGCTTCTTGCTTTCCAGTCAACTTTGATCTTCCAAAATTTAAATGCAATGCCAATCGTTATCTACTGTCTTCCTGATTACTCTTCTATAGTTCTCGCTCAATTTTCGCTTGTGGAACTCTCTACCGGCTTCTTGCTTTCCAGTCAACTTTGATCTTCAAAATTTAAATGCAATGGTAATCGTTGCCTACTGTCTTCCTGATTACTCTTCTATTGTTCTCGTTCAATTTTCGCTTGTGAAACTCTCTTCCGGCTTCTTGCTTTCCAGTCAACTTTGATCTTCCAAAATTTAAATGCAATGCCAATCGTTATCTACTGTCTTCCTGATTACTCTTCTATAGTTCTCGCTCAATTTTCGCTTGTGGAACTCTCTACCGGCTTCTAGCTTTCCAGTCAACTTTGATCTTCAAAAATTTAAATGCAATGGCAATCGTTGCCTACTGTCTTCCTGATTACTCTTCTATTGTTCTCGTTCAATTTTCGCTTGTGGAACTCTCTACCGGCTTCTTGCTTTCCAGTCAACTTTGATCTTCCAAAATTTAAATGCAATGCCAATCGTTATCTACTGTCTTCCTGATTACTCTTCTATAGTTCTCGCTCAATTTTCGCTTGTGGAACTCTCTACCGGCTTCTTGCTTTCCAGTCAACTTTGATCTTCAAAAATTTAAATGCAATGGCAATCGTTGCCTACTGTCTTCCTGATTACTCTTCTATTGTTCTCGTTCAATTTTCGCTTGTGGAACTCTCTACCGGCTTCTTGCTTTCCAGTCAACTTTGATCTTCCAAAATTTAAATGCAATGCCAATCGTTATCTACTGTCTTCCTGATTACTCTTCTATAGTTCTCGCTCAATTTTCGCTTGTGGAACTCTCTACCGGCTTCTTGCTTTCCAGTCAACTTTGATCTTCAAAAATTTAAATGCAATGGTAATCGTTGCCTACTGTCTTCCTGATTACTCTTCTATTGTTCTCGTTCAATTTTCACTTGTGAAACTCTCTTCCGGCTTCTTGCTTTCCAGTCAACTTTGATCTTCCAAAATTTAAATGCAATGCCAATCGTTATCTACTGTCTTCCTGATTACTCTTCTATAGTTCTCGTTCAATTTTCGCTTGTGGAACTCTCTACCGGCTTCTAGCTTTCCAGTCAACTTTGATCTTCAAAAATTTAAATGCAATGGCAATCGTTGCCTACTGTCTTCCTGATTACTCTTCTATTGTTCTCGTTCAATTTTCGCTTGTGGAACTCTCTACCGGCTTCTTGCTTTCCAGTCAACTTTGATCTTCCAAAATTTAAATGCAATGCCAATCGTTATCTACTGTCTTCCTGATTACTCTTCTATAGTTCTCGCTCAATTTTCGCTTGTGGAACTCTCTACCGGCTTCTTGCTTTCCAGTCAACTTTGATCTTCAAAATTTAAATGCAATGGCAATCGTTGCCTACTGTCTTCCTGATTACTCTTCTATTGTTCTCGTTCAATTTTCGCTTGTGGAACTCTCTACCGGCTTCTTGCTTTCCAGTCAACTTTGATCTTCCAAAATTTAAATGCAATGCCAATCGTTATCTACTGTCTTCCTGATTACTCTTCTATAGTTCTCGCTCAATTTTCGCTTGTGGAACTCTCTACCGGCTTCTTGCTTTCCAGTCAACTTTGATCTTCAAAAATTTAAATGCAATGGCAATCGTTGCCTACTGTCTTCCTGATTACTCTTCTATTGTTCTCGTTCAATTTTCGCTTGTGGAACTCTCTACCGGCTTCTTGCTTTCCAGTCAACTTTGATCTTCCAAAATTTAAATGCAATGCCAATCGTTATCTACTGTCTTCCTGATTACTCTTCTATAGTTCTCGCTCAATTTTCGCTTGTGGAACTCTCTACCGGCTTCTTGCTTTCCAGTCAACTTTGATCTTCAAAAATTTAAATGCAATGGTAATCGTTGCCTACTGTCTTCCTGATTACTCTTCTATTGTTCTCGTTCAATTTTCGCTTGTGAAACTCTCTTCCGGCTTCTTGCTTTCCAGTCAACTTTGATCTTCCAAAATTTAAATGCAATGCCAATCGTTATCTACTGTCTTCCTGATTACTCTTCTATAGTTCTCGCTCAATTTTCGCTTGTGGAACTCTCTACCGGCTTCTAGCTTTCCAGTCAACTTTGATCTTCAAAATTTAAATGCAATGGCAATCGTTGCCTACTGTCTTCCTGATTACTCTTCTATTGTTCTCGTTCAATTTTCGCTTGTGGAACTCTCTACCGGCTTCTTGCTTTCCAGTCAACTTTGATCTTCCAAAAATTTAAATGCAATGCCAATCGTTATCTACTGTCTTCCTGATTACTCTTCTATAGTTCTCGCTCAATTTTCGCTTGTGGAACTCTCTACCGGCTTCTTGCTTTCCAGTCAACTTTGATCTTCAAAAATTTAAATGCAATGGCAATCGTTGCCTACTGTCTTCCTGATTACTCTTCTATTGTTCTCGTTCAATTTTCGCTTGTGGAACTCTCTACCGGCTTCTTGCTTTCCAGTCAACTTTGATCTTCCAAAATTTAAATGCAATGCCAATCGTTATCTACTGTCTTCCTGATTACTCTTCTATAGTTCTCGCTCAATTTTCGCTTGTGGAACTCTCTACCGGCTTCTTGCTTTCCAGTCAACTTTGATCTTCAAAAATTTAAATGCAATGGTAATCGTTGGCTACTGTCTTCCTGATTACTCTTCTATTGTTCTCGTTCAATTTTCGCTTGTGGAACTCTCTTCCTGCTTCTTGCTTTCCAGTCAACTTTGATCTTCCAAAATTTAAATGCAATGCCAATCGTTATCTACTGTCTTCCTGATTACTCTTCTATAGTTCTCGCTCAATTTTCGCTTGTGGAACTCTCTACCGGCTTCTAGCTTTCCAGTCAACTTTGATCTTCAAAAATTTAAATGCAATGGCAATCGTTGCCTACTGTCTTCCTGATTACTCTTCTATTGTTCTCGTTCAATTTTCGCTTGTGGAACTCTCTACCGGCTTCTTGCTTTCCAGTCAACTTTGATCTTCCAAAATTTAAATGCAATGCCAATCGTTATCTACTGTCTTCCTGATTACTCTTCTATAGTTCTCGCTCAATTTTCGCTTGTGGAACTCTCTACCGGCTTCTTGCTTTCCAGTCAACTTTGATCTTCAAAATTTAAATGCAATGGCAATCGTTGCCTACTGTCTTCCTGATTACTCTTCTATTGTTCTCGTTCAATTTTCGCTTGTGGAACTCTCTACCGGCTTCTTGCTTTCCAGTCAACTTTGATCTTCCAAAATTTAAATGCAATGCCAATCGTTATCTACTGTCTTCCTGATTACTCTTCTATAGTTCTCGCTCAATTTTCGCTTGTGGAACTCTCTACCGGCTTCTTGCTTTCCAGTCAACTTTGATCTTCAAAAATTTAAATGCAATGGTAATCGTTGCCTACTGTCTTCCTGATTACTCTTCTATTGTTCTCGTTCAATTTTCGCTTGTGGAACTCTCTTCCTGCTTCTTGCTTTCCAGTCAACTTTGATCTTCAAAAATTTAAATTCAATGGCAATCGTTTCCCACTGTCTTCCTGATTACTCTTCTATTGTTCTCGCTCTTTCATGATGTTTTCTGTTTTCTAATTCTTTCACACCCAGTAACCCCATGTGTCTTCGTGGCTTTAAGGATTTACTTGGTGTAAATTCGATTTAAAAAGAAATTTAAAGCCGAAGCACATTTTTGAATTGTAAAAAATGGGGTGGGTGTGATAAAATACTTTTTTGATCTTTTTCTTCTTTATGTGCCGTGTCCCCCCGGGAGTTAGGCGATTATGGCTCTCCACAATTTCCTCTTACTCAAATTTTCTCTTTTTCTTATTTCTCCTAAACCTTATTCCACAATCTATTTACTTAGGCTCATTAAGTATGTTGTGCGTTGTTTTCGTCTGTCCAAGAGTGTCTTCACTCTGTCCTGTGAGTATCAGATTTTACCAGCCCTCTTTCCTCATTCTGTGCCCTAAATATATCAACTGTCTCTTCCAGATGTTAATTAAATAGTATTAACTCATAACCGAGAGAAGAGGTTGATTCATGCTAAAGGTATTTGTACGTAAGAACCAGATTGGAATTTCGTTATCTATTACACCACATGCACATCCAAGCGTTGAGCACCTGGTATTCCCAAGCGGTTACCCATCTAGGTACTAATCAGGTTCGACGTTGCTTAACTTCGGTGATCGTACAGGAACCGGCGTTCCAACGTGATATGACAGTAAGCCCAATTACTTCAGATGATGTTTTTTTTTTACATTATTCGGACTATTGAAAGATAGTAAATGGTTGGAATGTCAAACTGAACAGTTGTTCCGTTCGACATTCCAACCGCCTGAAGAAGGCCGGAGAGTACAACGGCTGAAACGTTGTGATAAATATGGCAACAAAGATGAGGACAATAATCCGAATAATGTAAATAGTGTACAAAATAGCTAATTACAGAAATATAGACGAACACTGATGGTTTTTTTTTTTTATCTCGAGGTAATAAAAATGACAATCACTTAATCATTAAAACCTAACTGATTACTTTTTTTAATTTTATTCTATTGCATATTTTCTAACGAGAAATTCTTCAGCCTTCTTCAGATTTATGACAAAACAGATCGACTAAATTGTTATGGCAAAATTAGAAGGAAGACAAAGGATTTTTGGAATGCCACTATCTCTTTTTAAAATTATAACAGATATTAAAACACTTCTGTTTGATTTTTCTTAGATCAAGTATTATTATTTTTTTTACACTATTCACATGCAGACTATAATCTTCATCTTTGTTATTGCTATCAAAAGAAGTTCGGTGGTGTGTTTTCCAGCCGTGTTATAATGACGGATCGCGGGCCGGACGAAGGCCATTAATGAAAAATTAAGGAAAATTACATATGCAGACGCCCCTGTCAACCTAAATCTTTAAAACCATAATGAAAATAAACATTGAAAAATCAGAAAAAAAACTAAAGAAAATCTAAAATTAAAAAAGCACCTAACAAAAATTACTTTTCCTCAAGGAACGTCAAAATACCTCAAAGTGAAAAAAAAAAAAATCAAGCGAAGTGAAATGGATGAAATTATGACGTGTAGGTTTGAAACTGTTATCGAAAATTGTTCCACAAACGAACCACACACACACACATCAAACAAAAACGAAGCACATATACCCATACATACGAGTACAAATAGTTGCAAACATATACACTTATGTACGTACACATGCGGTATCATCCACACATTCATGAGTCATGTATGTATAATGCGCGTATGTTTAACTGTCTTTAGATTTCTGCTACCTCGCATGTCAGTCCTTCCCTGGCCTCTTTCACTCTATCGTTCCTTTCGCTTCTTTTAATGTAGCCAAGGGTCATAAGAAATATGTATCCATTATTTGACATTAAACATAGGCAACGCAACTTGGGAAAATAAGTCTCATGAAAGATAACTGGCAGATAGTCTAATTCGAAAGCCTCGTCTCTCATGTTAAAAATAGAGTTATTGGTAATCAGGCTCGCGGGCCGGTCAAATGCCTTCGCGGGCCGGATTCGGCCAGCGGGCTGTAGGTTGCCGAACCTTGGCCTAGTGGATTAAAGCATTTGCCCCTGAATTTGGTGAACTCGGAAGAAATTGTCTGAGCAATAACTGAGCAATACCAAAATAAGGGTAAGATGATATATCCGTAGACATTCGCGTTTCCCCTAGAAACATCCAATAAAAGACCCAAGAGCCACTCAAGGTAGAGGTTTGCTGTATTTATGTTTGTATAAGCGTAAGTGAAAGTAAGTAGTGCAGTTTATGATGTCATATATCGAATATATTTCATTTCTTCGTCCTTTTGCATACAAATTGATTCTTTTTCTAAATGTGCTATACAGCGAAACATCGTCTATTCGCGATTCAGCAATCGCAGCTTCACGCATACGCGGATTTCTCTTTAGAACATATGTACTTTTTATTCGCGGAAACCCTGAATATTCACGTGTTTTTTCTGAAGACCATATGTACAAATTATTCGCTAGGAACTCCTGCGATTCGCGTATTTTTTTTCGAGAGACCATATTTAAAATATTCTTGTATTATTTTCTTGTTATTTAAATGACATATAACAGTCCATTTTTATGGTAAAAATTGTCAGAATTTTACATCAAAATTGTATAAAAATCAAACGTAAAAACATGAGTAGTGCTCGGACTTTATTTTTTGCTAGGGGCTGTAACTGGAGTCAGAAAAGGAGCTTATACTAAGTCTGGGTTCATCATCACAGTTCTGTTTTTAGAAAAAAATGTTAAACTTTATCTTTTATGTCTAGTTACACATATTTTATACAGTATTTTCATTGGTCTTATCGATCTATGCGTAATTAAAAACAGTTATTGTACGTATGAAAGAAAATTTACGCTAAGTGTATGGCTGTTGTATGGCGTACGAAAGTTTTTCTTCCTCCGTATGAGTATCTCATCCTCGTTGCCAAGTGTTGTAGAGTGAACGAAAAGTTTTTCTTCCTCCGTATGAGTTCGAAACCTCGTCGTCAAGTGTTGTAGAGTGGTTTCACAGTGGAGGCTTGTATTTGTACTAAGTCGGTCCTAAAATAGGTTCGACGTACAAAACGTTAGGAACTTGATATAATAGGTAATGACGCAGTAATCTAGTTGTGGTGGCTGATACTTTTAGTATCCGACTAACAGTCGTCCGGCATCGACTGACTTACTGACGATATTCAGTCACCACGAGGGCGTCATGTGGCACAAGGCCGGTTTAACGTGTGATCTCTGAGCCCGTGGGCTCGGCCAAAAATATGCCCATTGAACCCGTATAAACGGGTTCAGGGTCGATTTACGAAAGAGAATCCGCCCTTCGGCGTAGCCTCGTTCGGGTTCCTCCCCGCCCAAAGGCAGAGAGTTCCACCGATCAGCCAATCGACTCACTGACCAACTCACTGAGCGACTCCTACTCCTCCTACTTATTATAGGTGGGAGAGTCTATTAACAATAGAATAGGTGCGTCCACTATAACAATGGCCACTAATACTATTTTTTATAAATGTTTTTAAAAGGGTCTGAAATGTTTCTAAAGTGTTTAGGATGAAAGTTAAAGGCATATGGGGTTTTAACAATCAAAATAGCTGCTTATAAGCACTTTTAGGTGAGGGGGGTGCAATTATTCTAAGATTCTAACTATTACCGACCGGTTCTGGTCCCTAACCCCCTGCAAATACGGTGAACTCACTGAATAGGCAAATTGTGATGTATGTAAATATATTTCATGACATAATTGTATATTTTAGCGCTCTATATAAAATATTTCCAGATGCAATTCATTTATTTCGGTTATTCTAGTTACCCCTTCCGTTTTTCCCCTTATAACAATAATGTACATATATTAATACATAATATAAATATTAAATGGTACAAAATTAATTTCTCGAATTTAATAAAATAAGTGTGGGGAACAGATGAAAAAGCAAAAGATATAGGTATATGTTTTTTACCATCATTTTCTAAAAAAGAAACATTTCTAAAATAACTGAATTCATTTCTGAATAATCCCTGAATGTTTCATTAAAATCCGAAAATTATTTCGTTTTTATAAGAATTTCCAAATCACTGCAAATATACTTTAAAATTTCCTATACTAATCTTTCGTCCACACTACTGTCCAAGATTTTTAACCAAAATTTCGAACCTTGCTTTAAGTTCTTTGGTATATAAAGGATATACTAATGCCTAATGTGGGCATTGGAGAGTGGAGAATACAAATATTTTTATTCTCTCTTTTCAAGCAGAACATTTCTCCCTTATGTTTTAGTGCTTCCAAATAATATACAGTCTAGAGAACAGAGTAAATTGTTACTTTTCAGTATACAGTTTTTAATCAACTCATAGAAAAAGGAAAGAAACTCGACGAACTGAGTTCGAATTAAAATCAAGTTCTTATTATATTCACATTCGCTCAATATACCCTTGGCTAAAGTATAAATCCACCTTTTCTCCCGTTGTCTAGCGATCCATTAAATAACATGGTTTTGGGGGTTCTTTAGCTAGGTTTGGTAATTAATCTAAGTAAAGAGCCACTCTCAATACAAACTTAGTCAAATCTTTCTAAAAAAAACAGGTAGGTTTTTGAGAATAAATATATAGCTTTATGAAATGTTATATTGAAAAAAAATGGCACACCTGCGTGAATGCTTTCCCGAAGATTATAATTTTAACCTCCAAGTCTACAATCAATCGTTATCTATCCTACATTTGCTCATAATCTTTATATCATACTCTCTTTTCTTACGTCCATACCAATCACTTCATGCAGGAAGTCTCTATTATGTAAAGAACTTAATTATTGTATCGTATGAAGATTGAAAAATAAACAGAACTCGACTGGAATTCGAACTCAGATATTTATAATTCTCACCGGGAAATAAAATGACGGTAGTGAGTCCTAATTCTTTTTCTGACTATGACTTGGAAGATGACTACCAATCCGAAGTTCATCATATGGCTGATGCCGTAGGCTAATCGAAGGGTTGACATTAAGATGACTAAAGTGATGCGTCTATGCTTCTTTTGAAACCAGTCATCCTTCTCCTTGACAGAGTGACAACCAAGACTAGCAAACTCTGACAAATCGTATTATGTTTGATACCCATTAAATTTAAAATAACTTTTGAAAACAGTCGATGGGCTGTAACTAATGTTCGGGAGAAATAAGTTTTTTAAGAAACAAAAAGCATTTTAATATTGCTAAGATATGGAAAATATTTGCAGAATAATATATTTTCTTCTAAGCAACACGACTTATTTGACGCTGTGAAACTATCTTCGCCCATGTTAATGTAAACCTAGTTCATTGAAATAAACATCATGAAAAAAGTTGGTGAAAGCTGCCCATATAGAAATAGAAGAGAAAGCTCTTTTATTTTCTAGTGATATTATCCAAGAGGTTGTGATTTTAAAGATAAAACCAAGGAAAGCGGGAACACAAGCGAGAAATGATAAAAAGCAGACGAACTGGCAGCCATATTGACTTTCCTGGCGTCTACTCATTTATACTGCTTTGAATGCACAAACATTTGAAACACACACTTAGGTAAAATTACATACTGTTATGGTCTGGTTCCTTGTACTACGGTGATAGTCCAAAGCAGAACCAATAAAGTAGAACTCGAACCCAGGTATGGAATAACACAGATATATTACAAACAGGAATATATACAGAGAAGTAGAAGTGTTAGT